CATTTTATCAAGGTACCAAAATAGCCCGCAGTTGTTTGCTCCTGACAGGTTAATTATGAGGTAAAGCATGTGCGCAGCTAAATAAAAGGTATTGTTGTTAATTCCAAGAACAAGGTAGGGAAAAGGGTAATGTTAAAAATATACAAGCCAATCAAAATATTTTTCATATCTTTATATGGTGAAAGTCAGTGGAGCTTTGCATAATAGTCACCAAATTAAACTATATTTAGAAGTACATGGTATATATGGCAACATCCATCTAAACCACCTTCTGGGTAATAAAGAACAGCTTTTCTTCTCTCTGTAGAAAACTCAGGCTAGGATTCCACCCAGTGAGGAGGGACCGAATACAAAAACTCAGAAACTTTCCACAGGCCTGAAGAGAATAAGTGCCCAAACAAGTATCTGTCTTGGACATTCCATTTTTCTAACAGTTAATCCTCAACCTAAATAATGGATATATTTACCAAGGGGATCTAAGACTACTTTGTCAGTGGGATTCTAGTACTGCAAATGTAAAACTCTGCTGGGCTGCCAAAACTTAAGCCATAAAGTTTTCCTGATGAACACAGCTATATTCTGCAGAGTTAATCAGACAAAAAAGGAATAGAAGGGACCTGAAGATGTCATTCAGGGCATCCTCCAACCCAAAAGCTGGATCAGCTATACATAAATCAGTAGACGTGTGTCTACTCTGTTTTTAAGAGCCTCCAGGGTTGCATTTTTACACCTTTCTTAGGCAGTATGTTCCAGAATTTTCTGTCTTGGAAGACAGAAAGTGTTTCCCAATCCATAATCTCAGTTTGTCTTGCTGCAATTCAAATCACTGTGCTTCATATATTTGCCACTGTAGACATGGAAAAAAATTTACTTTCCTCCTTCTTTGCAGGTAACTTCTATGTTTTTAAAGACAAATTGTCATGTCTCCTCAGTCCTTTTTCCTTCACCATGATCAAAAGTTGTATTACAAAACTACTACATTTCAGAGCATCTGTAGCTTTTGGTGGTGGAGGATCCCTTCATTAGCCATGGATCCCTTCATAGGTGGAGTTTTGCTAGAATCACGTAGTCATTGCATATAGCCTCTGCAAGGCCAGCAATGTATCTGATCACGTGCAACAACCAGTTTCTGTTAATCTCAGGAAATATTCTTGAATTCTGCTTTTTCTTGGGTAGTGGCGAAGGCAGCAGGACCCACCAAACACACTACTTGAATGCACTGTACTACCTACCCACTGTGAGTTCTAGGGGTTAAGAGAGTCGTGTCAGGTCTCATGGGTCTCTTCTCAGTAAAACAAAAACTTCCCTACTGGTGAAAATTATTAGCATATGACCTTCAGCTGATTGCTTTACCTTCCCCCAGCTCAGATTGCCCACTGGTAAAATCAGGAGGATAGCACGAAGTCAGGATGACTGACAGATCAAAAGTGCTATCTGAAAGCAAATGAGTCGTGCTCCTATATACGAATTTATTCCCACTGAGACTGCAGTGACCTCTCTTATTGCTAGGGCCTTCTTGGAATAATTGTCTACCTACCACCTGATTTTTGAAAAAAAATAGGAAGTAATAGGGCACTACACCATAGACAAAATTCATAGATGAAATCCATCTCCCTTCAGAGCAGTTGCACGTGTATATATATATATATATATTAGGAAGGGTAGAGGAGTTAAGAAGAATTCTATCCAGTTTTAATACATCAGTCTGAACTGAGAGCAACTAACACACCAGTCTGTAAATCAATGGCTTATTTATCAAATTAATAGTCCTTGTTCAGAAAAAGCATACTTTCTTACCTTCTTGTGAAAACTTAATCTACTAGTTTGTGTATAATTTACCAGTCAAGCAACACTTGCATTGTGCTGTTTGCAGAACCAAGAAAAAGCGGAGAATGTGGTGTTTAATGATGAGTGTTTTCATTAACTCCTTGACACTTATTCCTGAATTTCTTAGTTTCAAAACTTTTCTACTATTGTAGCTAAATGCTGATCTTTATTTTCAAGTCACACTACCACACAGCTTTCCAAACTGATCTATTTCCATATTTTCTGTTAATGACTCAGCTAGGGTCATGATAGCTTTTAAATGATTGATCAGGGCTCAGTGATTTTTCTAGAATCAGGCCTGAACACAAAGTGCCTCTGTCAGTCAGGGTTGCTATGAGGAAATTCTCTGCTCTTTTGTGCTGCTGCCCTTTAATATAAGAGCTTTGAAAACGCTGCAGCTGCTGAAAATAGCCTGCATGTCATTTTTTTCAAATGGCATTTGAAAAACAGATTATCATGAGATAAGCGTAAGATAAGCATAAGCTCCTTACCTTTTTTCCTTAAGGAACGCATACTCTTTGAAGCAGTTTACAGAGATTAGCCATTTTTCAACACTCAGCTTTTTATCCTTTTCCCTATTTGGTCTCTTAGTCTTTACTGTATGTAGTTATATTCAGTTCATGTGGAATATAGATTATACAAGCATAACTCATTTATCTACATTGGTTCCCAGTTTTCTTCTCTATATAGCTTAGCTCATTTTATTTGTCCTTAGAGAATTTAACAAAATTTGTCAGTAAACCTCCTTAAATTTTTTTTTTATTTTATTGAAAAGTATATCATAGCATTTACTCTGTCCATATATAACCTGCCTAAAAATATTTAAATCTGGTAGAGGGATGTCCTGTAGATTTTCAATTGTTACAGTATGAGAGAAAGGCAAACCAACTGATCTGGAAAAATTCACCACTGCTCATTCAGCATTCACACATAGGAAAAAATGGGACTTCTTTAGCCACTTCACAAGGTTTACTGTGCTTTAAGAGCTAAAACTCATTTATATTTTAAAGGAGAACCAGAAAAAATAATTAAGAAATTATCCATATGAGCTCCAAAAGGTTCCTTGTTGTACATAATAATGTTTTGTACTTGTTTTGTAAAGTCACAAAGCTTCTCTTTTCCCCAAACTGAAGGGAAAATATTAGCAATTATTATTTACAAAATGAATTGTGAAAAGGTTTGCAACTGTGCATGTGGGAAATTTTGGAGCATCTTGCTCATCTTGGCTGCAGTTATGAACTGAGATCAACTTTTCCTAAAGCTTTATAAGAATTTGACACCTATTTAAGGGCTTATTTCATAGAATTACATGAATTGTCACTGAATCTTTCATCAAAAAGTACGTAACACTCACAAGACACAGTTTTAAGTGCTTGCATTGATTTAATTTATCTGATGGAAATTTATCAAATACAATTCATAGTTTCTCTGATGTTAGACATGTTGTACCCTGTACTTTCTGCAGTATCAATCAGGACTGATGTAGAATCTCCACCAGATGGACAGAAGAGGCATTGGTCAAACCCTGCAAATCATTAGCAGCAACAAAGCAGTAAGGGACATGGGTTCAACTTACAAGACTCTTGCACATGGAGTAGAAGTCAGTAAAGTGCAGGAGTCATGAAACAAATACTATGAACCTTGTAATTTAAAATCTCCATTTTAACCTTAATGGCTAGCATGTTGCTTAGCTCCAAGGCAGTAGGTAGAGCTAGTGCTAGCTGGCACCATACCAAAACACTGCCAGGGAAAAAATCTATTATTGCAGATTCACAGGATCTTTCCTGACTCCTATTGCCCAAGTGAAGGGGGGGAAGAGTCTCTCAGATAGCTAATGCCATCTCAGCATCTTATTTTCTCTTCTGAGCCAGCTCACGGACTAGCTGACACACAGAGAAGGGCAGTGGGTGTGTGAGGAATGACACATACTTACCTCCCTTTGGCTTTCTTGTGAGCTAAGGAGACTCAAACCCCTATAGTCAGCACCAGGCCAGCATTGTCATCTAGATAAACAGCAGTATCTACTGTGGCACATAAGAGCTATTTACCCAAGAAGCTAGGAAGTGCTTTTGCATAGTTTTGAGGCCAAAGCTGTGGCCTCTACACTGCTATGAGATGGGAAATATGCCTAGAATCATATCCCTCCCCACTAAAGCATCCTCACAGTCACAACTGACTCAGCTGCTTTCATAGCCCGGGGAATCTGAAACCACACCATTGTAAAAGGTTGCTCTTCTCAGAGATGTGACATTCAGGCTTGAATGTCACCTTCCATTTGAAAAACTCTTCAAACCTAACTCCAGTACTTGACATAAGAATTCTCTCCTGAATCACCACTCTTTGATTACTTGAGCCAGGCACAAAGGTATTTTCCCAGCTGGATAATTGTTGAATGCCTGTTCTGCTTTAAAAATGTCATACATTCTTTTATAAAGCCCCGTTTGCTAAATTTAACTGATCAATTGCATGTTTTTAATACTAAAAGTACATGAAATGGACTTCCCAGTATGAATTTTTCATTTGGTCAGCTTCTTTAGGGAAATTATTTGGTTGTGAACGAAAAAGGAAGTATTCATAAAATAACCTCTTTGTTTGGGTTATACCACTTTTATGAATGCCTGAGATATGGGAAGTACCACAATTAACTTCAAGTTTCAAGAGGTTTGTACTATCATAATAAGATAAATGGGGTGATGTTTAGAAGCTGCCAGAGAGTGTATTAGAAGTTATAAGGTGTGTCTGAACACGTTCCTTCCGAGAAGCCTGGGAACAGTTAGACCTTTTTCTTCAAAAATGACATGCGAAAGCTCTTTGAAGGCAGCACACGTGTGCATTGTGCAATAGCTTGGACAATGGAGGTTTGATCTTTCATTGGGATCAACAGATGTTAGTGCAACAGGTGTGTACATATAAACACAAGGACTGCTTTTTATTTTTTAATTCTACATCAATTATGTGCTCCTTTAGCTTTCAGATGGTGGAAAGTATTTCCTTATTAGCTTTAAAAATAACAAAAGTAACATTTTATTACCAAAAGACAAAAATGAAAGCAACATGCGCTAAGGATTTTTAATATACAGATTCTAACAATGATCTGATGGGACATTTACCCTTCCTAAAGGTAGACAAACCAATTATCTCAGATATTGTCTCTGCTTGTTTCTTCTGGACAGGATCTCTGTTTTCGGCTCTGAAGCCTCCTGAAACAATCTTCAAGGTGATTTTTTGGCTTGGCTACTTTAACAGCTGCATGAATCCAGTCATCTACCCTTGCTCAAGCAAAGAGTTCAAGAGGGCTTTTATACAGATCCTAAAATGCCAGTGCCACCGTCGAAAGCAGTTGGGGTGGTGGGCCTACAGCTACAGAAACTGGAATCGGTGCTCCTTTGAACACCCTAGGAAAGACTCTCTGGAAGACAGCGGGAGTTTCCTAAGCGGCAGTCAGAGGACATTATCTTCAGCATCTCCCAGCCCTGGCTACCTGAGCAAAATCACTCACCCACATATGGAGATGTGCACGTTCCAGGAATGGAAAAACTCCAGCTCTTTCCTGAGCCCTTTACAGGAAGGCAGCAGACAAAAGGACCCATGCCAGTTCTTCACCTTCAATCTCTTAACAGAGCGCAATGGCCATGTTCCTGCTGGCAGCCAAGCCTCCAGCAATGGGGACCATGAGGCCATCTGTGACACCCTGAATGGCAAAACTGACTGTAGAACAAACATGACGCTGGAATGAACAGTCTGTTCTCTTTGTACACCAACCTGTTTGACGTTTAGCCCAGGTGAAGAAATGGACCGGTGCACAATTTCTCAGTATAGCACTAGAAGGAAGCCAGTGAGGAACAGGCAGATTTATGTCACAAGAGCAGCAAAGTGTGGGGGCTAACCACATTCCCAGTCAATTGCCAGAGAGGCTACTGAAGCAAAAACAATGCAGAGAAGGTGCCACATAAACCCAGGGAAGTGCGCATCCAATTATTTAGCTGCCATGGAAGTACTGTGGAACAGCCAAACACATATGTATATAGAAAGAATGTATAAATATGGGGGTGGGCAGGGGAAATGTGTATGAATGTGTGGGTGTACATGTGTGCTAGCCGCATATATGGATGCCCGAGAGCAGAAGTGAGCAATGCAGTGTTGTTTGTACCTCTCCAGGGTACTAGTTGCCACTGATTTTGCCTGTAAATTCTTATTGTTGTTGTACTTCACTGTACATTAGCACTTTAGAAATGGAAAACAATGTCAAAGATTAAAGTAATTTCGCAACAATTTAAACACTTGCACCTCTTACTATACAACTGGAATTCAGCCAAGTTCCCTCATCACGATTTTCACTTCAAAATAAAACACTCATAGCGGTTAAGTTTGCCATTGTAGCTCCTAGGATGCTCTTGAATCTCTCTGCAGTTGCTTCCCTTCCATTATTCCCTTATCACCAACATATGTAACTACTCTATCCTTCATCATGTTCTTTTTTGAAAGTTTGAAAATAGCAGCAATGATGAGAGCTCATAATCTACATTTCAGCACATTAGTAAGTGTCCTGTAAACATACAGGCTACCAGAGGATCTGATTTCTAAAAGCAATACTCATAAATCACTCCAAATACCTCACAAACAGTGTTGTGAACAAAGCACAAAAGAGCACTGACCACTGGAGGCCTAAAACCCAGGAGTCCCTGGTTCTTTCAGCTCACTTTGAAAATAGCATTGCACATTTAGAGGCTTTTACTTTGCCACTCAGACAACAAGAGAAAGAGTCAAACAAGGGAGCAGTGTAAGTTTCACTGTCATTAATAAATTTCCGCTCAGTACTATAGTACTGTAACAGAATTCCTGAGAATATCTTCTAGGACATTTTAAGAAGTTATTTTCATCTCTTGCCTGTAAGTGTGAATCATGAAACTAATGACTGATTTTTTTACATGAAGTGGTACAAACCGTGAAAATTGTCATTTACTCTGTCCTTCAACCGAGACTTTCCTTATTAGGAATTTTAGTGACTTTTTTTTAAAGCTTGAAACAGAGAATGAGCCATAAACAGACTAAAAACACTTAGGGACAATTTAACAATGCTAGGTCCCAAGGGAGATCCATTTCCTTAAATGTTTATTCTCTCATTAAGTTGACAGGGATGGATGTGGCTTGTGGTTAGATGAAATATGCCCCAACTCAGTGAGCAACGATAGGAAAGTCATGTTCCAAGGTCTTCCCATGGTCCTGTGTTACAGTGAGAACCACATAAGTATGTTTTAAGTCTTATCCTGATTGAAATTATGGCCAATGTCCTATTTTAATAATTCCATTTTGATTGCGGGGAAGGCCATAATTTCCTCTTAAAAGGACAATGCTTATAAAATTTAGAAGTATTGTAAGACAGATAGATAGATAAACAAACTCTTGTTGCTCATATATTGAGGTTGCCATAAAGAATATTCTATCTAGCTGTGATATACTAGTATGAAGCTACCCTCTTTGGACCTCTAAATGGCAGAGAACCGTATTTCTAACCTATTGTTATAATTTTTGGAGGGAACCTACACTAGTCTGTCAAACACTTCTGGGTTTTGTAAAGCTTCTTCGAAATTACTGTTAATTGGAAATAAAATTGTTTAATCTAACCACCTGACAACACACTTAATTTTGAGTCACACATGACTTGTATAGCGTAAAGTAAATCCAAATAATGTTACGCATATTTGAGAATTTCTAAGTGATACTGCAAGGTTTCAGAATAAATAGCATTCCATTACTCTAAAGCCTTTAACTAGTAGCTCTCAGAGACCGACAACTCTTTTAATTAGTTTCCAGTCCTAACAAAGGCTGTGTAATCTCTGATTATCATTCAAACTCCTTAAATAATGACATAATTCTCTAATTACCTATGAAATCAGATAGGCTTTTATCCCATACTGAAGTGACCTATGAGTACTTATCATCTTTGTATGTTTTTTACATGTAATGTCACAAAAACTGCAAGGGAAGTTCCCTCAGTGCTTTCTTTAAATCTATAAAAAGAGAATTTCAGCCATTTTAGTACTGAAAAAACAGCTTTCTCTAAACACTGTAATTAATCAGCAGAAGATAATGCATTAACATCATGCTAGTCCATGCCATTTATAATATCCGGTGCCTCTAACCTTATGAATCATATACCAAAGCCCTCAGAGAGCCAAAAACCCCAAGATACATGTCCCATAAGCCTTAAGGAGTGGAGAAGAGAAGGCATTCCACATGCAGACAGTAATGTTTTTCCCCAAGAGTTGCACTGCTTTTCTGTTAGTTTGAACTGGGAAGGCTGCTGGACTCTGCAGGGGCAGCAACACGGACTCATCCACGTGTGCTAGCTTGCTTTCTCTCACAGCCAGCCACAGCACTGCTGCTCCTCCTGTGTCCTACCTTGCATGGGAGGCACCTTTGAACTGCATGCAAAACATAAGTGGCTCAAGAGCCACAGGATTTCTACCCTGTAGTGCTTCCCTTCCTCAAGCCCAAGTTCTGCAAGTATGTTAAGGGCAACCTCCCTGGGGACATGACTAGGTTATGCTGTCTTGCCAAGAAAACAGGAAACTAAGAGAAGCTCTGCTTTGGGATTTCTAATACTGGTGAAAACAAGAAGGGGAAAAAAGTTTATTCACCATGTTGAAGTTGGAAAACAAGAAGTTGGAAATAATCACAGGCAATCAAAACAAATATACTCTGTCAGTATATTTCTAAGACAGACATTATGTTCTAAGACAGACATTTACATCAGGCCCATTTTTCTTAGCATATTCATTAGGCCACATCCTATGGGATCATCTCATACAATCCCTAGTTCAGACAGATGAAGGAATGACAAACTGTAGGCTCCAGCACAGCAACCAGTGATAACAGAAAGAAGTGAGAACAAGTTCAGGCAATACCTGGTATATACTTCAGATTATAATTTTAACAAACTATGTCTCATTGTTAATCACTACCCAATTAGATTTTAAGACTGAAGAGCCTACAACTTGTAGCTTTAACAAATATAAGATGAAAGGCTTCCTAATATTTCTCCAAAATACATTTCTCTTCTCCGAGCTTTTTTCCAGGTCATGTACATATTTTGCCATGCCAGGCTCTCCATAGCCATGCATGATATTATGTGACTTCCCCAAAACAAAAAGATGACTGCTTTTCTTCTAAGCTCTTTACTTTTTGTCTCATGAATTCCCATTTTTGTAGGGTCCCATACAGCCTATTCTTACACTCAGCAACACTGTACCAGTTTGATCCCGTCCATGCAAATATGCTAAACTATGTAAGACTTCAAAAGAATCATGTCACATCTGCTCATAAGCTGCCAACACCACCTACTTCACCTCCAGCCACAGCTTTAATGAAGGTACAGGCAATAAAACTGATTGTAAAAATGGAAAAAAAATTACACAGATCTGAAGGAGGGATCACAAAGATTACAGAGAAAGTCTGATATACCACCTTAAAATATGAAACCCTTGCAAAGCCACCTGACTTCTCTAGAACAAATCTATTCTAAATACCTTTATTTTTATCACTGGAATCTTCTGTGACCTCCACCAGGCAAAGCCAGCCCAAATGAGGCCATACAAATCACCCTCTTCCCTTTGTTAGTCCTTCATTTGTTGCAATGTTTTCCTTTAAAGGAAAAACTATTTGGGTCAGGGCATCATCATCAAACCTTGTGGGACAAGCCCATATTAGCCCATTTTTTTAGTACAGCCAAAATTAATTTGACAAGCAGAACATCCACAATCTAGAGAAATGGCAATTGGCGCACAATGGTGGTCTATCATGCATATTAACAGACCTTCAGATGAACCCATTTTGTGGGCAAATAGATTTACCTCCCAAGAGGAGTTGCTGCCATTTAGCACAGAAGGTGTTCATAAAACACTGTGAATTTCTAGTTGGAATTTCTAGTTGGAACTAGATGATCTTTAAGGTCCCTTCCAACCCAAACCATTCAATGATTCTCCAGGTTAAGCTACTGTGTGGAGCTTAATCACTAACGAGGGGCTTGTACAAAGCCTTTCAGTTGAGAGGCACAGCTGTAATGACTCACAGAGTATTGTTACAGCCCAGCTGCACATAAATTAAACCCATTAGGCTTCAATGCACTCAGCTATCACAAAAGTGCTTCTTATTTTTGAAAAGAGTTATGGTAAAATCAATCCAACTGAATGAGACTGAAACTCTAGAGCATTCTACATTCTTTGCTCTTTGGAAATGCAGTTTCCTATTATCTTTCCAAATGTGACAGGGAGAGAAGAGGGGACATTAATATTATGAAGTGCAGTTCTAGTTTGAAAAATGTAAAAACAGCAATTTTCTATTCAGCAGATGTGCTCTCCCCTCTTGGTTTCTGTGCTTGACTTTCACCTGATAGAAATGAGCATAAAATTGCACAACATGGAGACGATAATCCACAGCAGCTATGGTATGAAAGTATTGGTATCCTAACAACTGCTTATTCCTGTTAGTGGCCACAAACTCACCACCTCATTCCCATGAGAATAAACTGGATTCTGTTTTGATACACTCCACAACAGATATGCTTACTTTTTTTCCAAACCATGTTCACAGTGCTATGGCTCACACACTTCATGGGGCAGAACATGGTATCACGGGGATGATGCAGCAGACAAAGAAATATCACTTTCATCTTGAAGTGGTCAAAAAGAAATACTTCAGAATATGAAGACACATCATGCTAGTTTAAGTCGCTTTAATGGAACCAGAATATGTTTCCACACACTATGACTTTTTCAGGACTGGAATGGGTACTAGT